GGGCTCCACCACACCCCGTTCAAGATAATTTTAAAATAACCTTTATAAGATGATAAATGGCAAAACTGGTGAAACAAAAGAGGGAACTGAAAGCCAGCAGGAATCATACAGCCCAGGTACTGTGGCTAAAGCACCAGGGCATTACTCTGCCCAATTCTTCCTGAAACGTATTTGCAAGTAAGAAAAAAATGTGGTCATGGTGCTGTGGGGGTAGAGTTGGTAGTAGAAGGAGGAAGATTTGGTCCTTCTGTTCCTTACTCTGCAGCCGTAGACTGGCTTCTCTTTATTCCTCTGAAACAGGTGTCTTTTTGTTTTTCTTTTTTAATATCTATGATTCTAAATGTCTCTGAGTAGGAAATCGCTTCTGAATGAATCAGGAATTTGTGAATTGCACTTGTGTCAAAGACCTGAACGTCTAACAAAAGAAACTATTTCCCGTATAAATGAAAGACAGAAGTAGGCCGTCCAGCAGTAATGAAGAGGCTCCAGGATATTATTATCTTTCGGTTCATGGCTTCCAGTCTCAGTGTTGCCTCCTGGGTCCTATGTAGCTGCTGGAGTTCCAACCATTTCATCTATATTTATGGTAATGAAGAAATGAATGGCTTCGCTTCTTTCTTTTAAGAACTTTCCCTGGAAACTCCATATTATGCTGTCAGTTGTATTATTGCTTTATGATTTTTATATAGCCAAATCTCTTTCGTTTATAACTTTATGATCTGGGTATGGTATTAAATAGACCTTCCCAACTCAGGTATTCTAAAAAATAGTTTACACATTTTTTTCTGGAAATTTTAGGACTATCTTTTCTTTTTAGATTTAAATATAAAATGTATTTGTGTTTGTAGTATGAGGTAGGGATCTAGCCTTCTTTTTTCAAATGGCTACCCTAAGGGGACATTACCTCTTGTAGCCACTGGTCAAGATCCTTCCCTAAACAATTCCCTGGACGAGGTACCTGGACATATTCTTATTGTTTCCATTCTGAATGTTGCTTCCTAGCAACACAACAGGAGGCAACTTGGTGTCTTACTTCTAGAAATTTATTATTTTTTATTAGTACATGTTCGCCATACATAATGATCACATTGCCGGTCGTGGTGGCACACTCCTGTCACCTCAGCACTTGGGAGGCTGAGGCAGGAGGATCGTTGTGAGTTTGAGGCCAGGCTGGGCTACAAAGTGAGCTCAAGGCCAGCCTGAACTGCATAGCGAGACCCTGTCTCAAAAAGACAGGAAAAAAAAACCAACCCACCAACATAATGATCACGTTCATCATGGGGAATGTGTAACTGTACATACTGTACCTTAATTCTTTTTTATTCCCACTCCCCTCCCCTTCCTTCAACCCCCTTTCCCCTCCCCGGTTATAAAAGCTGTTTCCATTTTATTCCTTCATTTTTCTTTTTCTAACATCCCTGTTTCTCTTCCTTCCCTTCCCCCTCACTCAGCCCTTGTTCCCCTTCCCATTTGAACAACTTCTTTTTGCTCCAAACATCTTCCCTCCATTTTGTTCCTTATTTGCTGATCCCTTGAGTTTCTCATACAAGAGAAACAATGTGATAATAAACTTGTGTTTCTGATGCATTTTACTTAAGATTATGGTCTCAAGATGCGTTTATTTTCCTAAAAATGCCTCCAGTTTATCACCCTTCTTTACAGCACAGTAGTACTCCATTCTGTATAAATACCACATTTTCTCTATCCACTCATGTGTTGATGGGCATATGGGCTGTGTTCAAGATTTAGCTGTGACAAATTGCGCTGCCATAAACAAGCATAGGCAGGTATCCCTGTGGTACGGTGCCTCTAACCCTTTCGGGAAGGGGAACAGCTAGGTCAAATTTTAGTTTTTTGAGGAATCTCCATACTGCTTTCTATTGTGGTTGCGCCAGTCGACACTCCCACCGAAAAAGGAGAAGGTTCTTTTTTTCCTGAGTCCTCCTCAGCGTTTGTTACTGGTTGATTTTTTATGATAGCCGTTCCTTCGGGGGTGAGATGGAATCTCAGTGTTGTTTTAATTCTCCTCTCTCAAATGACCAGTGATGTTGAGCATATTTTCGTGTATTTACTTGCTGTTTACTACACCTCCGAATTCTCTCTCCTAGTGCCGTACTTCAGAGAGTGTTTGCTCAGTAAAATCGATCCCTTTAATACTGTTTGCAATTCAGTTAGCTTCAGCGCTGCGGATCACGAGTTTGTGTCCGCTGTGCTTTAGGGAGTCTCACTTTGTTGATTCCAGGAACCAAATTTCCAAGACTTCGATCCGAGGGCCCCCGGGGAGGGGGTGGGGCTCTGAGGTAGCCGCTCACTTAGGAAATGCTCACGGTGAATCTACTTCCTGCAGTGTCTTGTGCTAGCTGCTGTGAGGGAGGCACAGCGGGATCAGAACTGCTTCCTGTCCTCCCGGAGCTGGGAACACTTCAGTGAGGACGGCTCTGTTTGGGTGAGCTCGAGGCGCAGGGACCGGAACATCACGGCCCTGTCTGGGCCTCAGCTGTGGGGCGCAGGGAGAGGCGGGCAGCCCAGCCTTCGCAGAATGGGGTGCACCATCCATGGGGCAGGGGGAGGAAATGGGTAGGAAAGGGGGCTCCTGTGAGTAGCCTTCGAAACACGAGCAGAGAGAGGAGCAAGTTGGGAGACGGATGTTCCTTCTCAGTTTTGCCAGTTTCCTGTACTTCCACTGAGAAAGTGCTTCTTGAGTTCTGTGATTTTTGGTGTGGTTTTGTTTTCTCCTTTTTCTGTTTATCTTTATTAGTACATACTTGCAGCACGTAATGCTCACCTTCCTGTGGAGTTGGCACATGGACACATCTCCACTCCTTTTTCCGTCCCCCTCCCACCATCTCGATTCCCTTCCCATCTCTCTACTTCCGATGACCTAGTTCTTATTTTGCTCTTTATTGATAATTTGGGTGTCTTTTTTTGAGACATGGTCTCGCTCTGCAGTTCCGGCTGGCACTGAACTCACTTTGTAGCCCAGGCTGGCCTCAAACTAGAAGTGATCCTCTTGCTTCAGCCTCCCTAGTGCTGGGATTCCAGGCATGTGCCACCACGGCCGGCTCCAATTTGGGTTTCTTGAATAAGAGAAACCACATGATATCTAAGCTTGTGGGTCCAATTTATTTCACTTAACATTATGGTCTCAAGGGGCATCCATTTTCCTACAGATGACTCAGGTTTATCTTCCTTTATGGAGTAGCGCCCCACTGTGTGTAAGCGCCATATTTTCTTTATGCATTTATCTATTGATGGACGTAGAGGCTGCTTCCGAGATTTAGCTGTCATGAGTTGTGTGGCTGCAAGTGTGGGTATGCGCATTTCACTGTAATAGGATACATAACTTGGGAGATGCCTGGAGGGGAACAGCTGCGTCAAATGGATTTTCTAGTTTTAGTCTCTTTCCCCCCCGGGCCGGGGGTAGCGGTCCAGTAGAGCCCTGCAGGAACTTCGGGCGCAGACAGTGGGAGGAGGTCTAAGGAGGAACAGCAGGGTGCTGCTGAAGTGACAGCCACTCCCTCATGCACCTCATTTCACAGCCCTCACTTCACAGCAGTCGCTCACTCCGGGTCTGTTAACCACTTCTCTGTGACCAGAGATAATAAGCCCATATCCACCAAGAGCCCCGAGCTGGAGTTCAGAACACACCTTCGCGTCTCCTTCGGCACTTCAGTCTCCCTCAGACCCCAGTTCCAGCCTAAGCAGCAACGCGTTAACTTGGGTTTCTCATTTATCTCTTCTCACTTACTGCCTCTCTGTTCCTACTCTTTTCTCTAAAGGTCACAGGATGACCCCACTCACTAGTCATGGCACTTGATACCCACGGCCACCACTCGACAAGTGGCCTTTCTTGTTGTGGAAAGCCTTGGAATTCTGATGATACCTATGATTATAAGTGCTAAGAGGAAACAGAGATTGTCAGTGACCTTGGAGCTGACACACAGCAGAGTTAAATGCTACCATAATAAATAAGTAAGGTAGCCAATTTCAGTTTTAAAATGGTTAGATCCCTGAGGCCTGGGCCCTTCTCTGACCCTTTTTTGGGGACTGTAGAGTCCCCTGAGCTCCCCCGAGGTTAACACTAAACCCCAGTGGCTTCTCCCAAATGTACCCTGATGACCCTGGTTTTCCTCTTCTTCACAACTGATGCGTGTAGTCCTTCAAAGCTATTTGTCCAATAGACAGGCTAAACTCATGATGAGAAGGAAAGGATTTAGGGGTCTTGGGAGGAGTTTGCCATTTCAAAAACAGCATCATAGTAGTAGTCTGAGAGAAAACTCCCTTATACTTACTAGTATCTGGTTTAATGTTGGTTTTGCTTTGGATATTTGAGAGAGGTGAATGCCCATCTTTTTAGTATGTGGACCTCTAAATAGCTTCATGCAGTCCTGGGCTTTTGGAAAAATTTGCCCCGAGGATCATCTGGCTCTCTCTTTGGACCTCAGCAGTGGGCAAGGAACCCTAAAGAAGAGCCTCATGCTCCAGGTCTGGGTTTCTGCCTGGGATCCCACTCAGTGGGGGAATGGGCCCTTTCTCTCTCTTGCCAATGTCCCACCTTCACGTCAGGGCCATCATGGAATTAAGGGGTAGAACCTGCTGGTCACCTTTCCAAGTGCTTGCCTGACCTCAGCACACTGTATGAGCCTTGATCTTTCTGTTTTCATTTTCAGACATTCTCTTCTGTCTCTTCCACTTATTACTGGGAGGCTGACAGAAGACAGAGCCTGTGGAATGGGGTCAATAGAAGTAGGGGTGCTGATGACCTTCCGTGGCTGTCTTGTGTGACAGCACTGGAGACAGTGTAAACAATTCCCTCATCCAGAGGCAACTGTTAACTCTGACTAATCTCCATCATTACCTTCTGTCCTTAGATGAGGCCGATCCTCCACACTTGGCTAAATGATACTGAAGTCAGGCGCTGGGGAAAGACTGGCAGGCCAGGGGCGGGACTTCCTGTTGTGATTATCACCCACTTCCGGTTTCCTGAACATCTATTTCCGGTATCATGCGTGACCACATCGACTGCTGCCTACCTCACTAAAGCTGTTTAAGGTGGCCGCAATAGCTGGCAGATCGCAGTGTCTTGGTCTGTGTGGCAGTCTGTGAGGCCTGGGTACCTCCCCAGAGGTCCTACTTTCATCTTTTTGGGGCCCCTCAACACACATGTTAAATTAGGTAATGTCCCGTCGTAACCTTAATTCCTTCAGGCTCACTGGCGGCTGCTCCCAGCAGCTGGTACAGCCGAATAGTTCGACCCCGTCGCCTTCTCCCACCGTCTCAGTCATCTGCTTCATATGTAGTTACGTGCTTTGTGTGACGTCGCTGCAGATGTTGTAGGAAAGCCGCTCTTAGGAAGACAGTTGTGGGTGGGACAGGGAAGGCGGACCCTTTCTGAACTCTAGATTCTCAGACGTTTGTGAGGGAGATCTTTATACTCTGGACCCCTGTAAATGTCTTGTTTTCTCCCTTTCCCTTCTCTTCTTCCTGCCCACCCTCCACGTTGAGGAAGAGAAAAGAGAAAGCGTGGAAAGCGCTGGGCCCAACACCAGCCCTTCCCCAGAAAATGCCCTCTGAATACTTGTATCACCGAGGCTCCCCTTTCCTGCCTCTAGACAGACTTTAACCGTTCTACCGCAACCTCTACTGACCTGGAACGACACATTCTCGCTCCTTCCCTGCTCCTCCTCTCTCCCTAGGGAGTGAGCCCAGGAGCTCACACAGGCCAGACAAGCACTCTACCACTGAGTCACATCCTCAGCCCCCAGAGATTTTTAGCAATTTTTTTGGAAGCAATTTTCTTTGAAGAATGAATTCTGGCTTTCATTGATTTTTTTTTTTTTTTTAACCCCTAAAAAACAAAAGGAAAAACTCTTTAGGGTATTTTTAGTGCCTCTTTCTTGCGTTGCTAGAGAAACAGGAGGAGGAACTGGGTTACTCCCAAACAAATGGAGGCAGGGCACACCTGTTTGTTTCTGCGGTTCCTTGTTGGTTGGAGAGGGAAAGACTCCTAAATTCTTATCGGAGGAGCAACAGGTTCCTACGAATAGTTTTATGGCAGGAGATGATAGGTATGCACACTGGCTGTTGTGGCTGAAATGCTTGCTTGCTTTCAGATACTACCAGTGGCTTTTTCTCTGCCTCACTCTCCTCCCTGAGAATCTGCTCCTGAATGATGCATCTGAGCTTGCTTCCTTATCTGAGAGCGGGAAGCCTACAGGTGACAGAGATCCCTGCTGTTCTCTACCTTGCAGAGAATAAAGAGGAGCCTGAATCTGTTTCTTGGGTGTCTTGTGAGTGCCAGAAAATATATCTGGAAGCTTTAGAAGAAAGAAGGCCTTAGGATATGGTGTCTACGTTTCCTTCCATGGAACCCCACTGGTCTTTACTTGGAAACAGGATCATACCCTCACAAGAGATCTTCCTCAGGCTGAAAAGAAGGTGTTGAAGGTGAGAATGTTCTTTATTTTTAATTTTCCTCCTCTTAGATTCCCATAACTGTTATTACTAAGAGGATACAATTTTATGCTTAGAGACATAACAAGGGAAAAATAATCATTGCGATATGGACGTGTGACGTTTTGTTTTTCCCCCCGGTAGTATCTACTGGGTACCCTGTGTTACATTTAGAGAGTGGGTGTGGCTCAGTGGGACAAGCGTCAGGCTGTGGATGGGAAGACAGTGGGGGGAGTGGAGGGAAGTCCCACGTTTGCTTCTCATAATGTTTAGTATTCGGTAAGTTATTTGGCATCTGTTCTTCTGTTTAGAAAAGAGGCCCTGTAATACTGTATTTCAAGTTAATTGTGAAAGTTAACTGGAACTATGTAAAAAGAAGTATCTCTGCCCCGTCAGAAGTGCTCATGAAATACTGTACACACAGTTTTCTGTGCCAGTGTGGATATATATTTTAAATTTGATGAAGTATGTAAATGTTTAAAGTGTATTTTATGGATAATATCAACTTTGTACTTTTGTGTTTTTCAGGGCTGGGACTTGAATGCAGGGGTCACATGCAAGGTAGGAAATCACTCTACCACTAAGCTACATCCCCAGTCCCTTTTCAAATTTTATTTTGAGACAAGGTCTTGCTAAGTTGCCAAGGTCGGCCTTGGAACTTGAGGCCCTCTTGCCTTAGCCGCCCAAGTTGCTGAAATTGCAGGCATGCACCCTTGTGCCATTTGTGAAAGAGTTTTCCTAGACACCACATGTGACTACTGAATTATATATGTTGAAAGCATCTTAACATATAAATTGCCAAATAGAAGCAAGAAATGTATGTTTCCTTTTTAAAAATTTCTTACTTTTTTATGGCGCTAGGGACCTTTTGCATGTTAGACAAAAACTGTACCACTGAATCACACCCCTAGCCTGTACTTACGCTTTTAAAAAGACTTTAAGTTTCTAGAATTAGTGGTGAATTTCATCTTCAGACCCACTGAGATCTGGAGACTGCAGATAAGAGCTCTGTTCTAGGGTGGCAGGGGTTGGAGCAAGAGCAAGGAATGATGGGTGGGGATTTCCCCTAATTACACCTTAATGTCAGCAAGGGTTCAGCTGCTTTGCTGTCCGCTTCCTGATGTGGAGGTGGAGCCGGATCCTGATCCTGATCCAATGTGGTGGGTCAGCTAGTCCGCAGGGTCAGGTTGTAGAGCTCTAACAGGAAACCAGGTGTAAAAAATCTCCCAGGCAGGTCTTTGTTGAGCATGTTTGTGTAGAGAAGAAATACCTAGTTTGCTGTCAGTTTGGAGTTGAGCTTGACATTCCCGTGAATGCGCTCATGGTTAGTTTGTAACTGCAGGCATTTGGTTCCATCCAAGGAGCCTGTCCTCCTGCTCCCCGGTGTGCACTGGCCATGAAGATGATCCCATGGAAGAGATTCTGCCGGCATTATCACATGTGGGTTCTGGGCTTTTACATGGTGCTGGCCATTGTTGCTTTGAGACTTTCTCTCAGACTGAAGTGTGACTTTAATCAACTGTATTTGGACTCCAAGGAACTTCCCACTCAGTACTGTAGGAATATCGTGTACAGATCCCTGAAGTTGCCGGCAAAGAGGTCCATCAACTGTTCGGGGATCTCCAGAGGAGACCGGGAAGCAGTGACCCAGGCTGTCCTGAATAACCTGGAGGTCAAGAAGAAGCGGAAGCCTTTCTTGGACGCTGACTATGTCACTATGGCCGGAGACTGCGAAGACTTCAAGGCCAAAAGGAGGTTTGTGCAGTTCTCACTGAGCAAAGAAGAGTTAGACTTCCCTATCGCATACTCCATGGTGGTTCACGAGAAGATCGAAAACTTTGAGAGGCTGCTGCGAGCTGTGTATGCACCTCAGAACATATACTGCGTCCATGTGGACGAGAAGTCTCCAGAAACATTCAAAGAGGCGGTCAGGGCGATTGCTTCGTGCTTCCCAAATGTCTTCATAGCCAGCAAGCTAGTTCGAGTGGTTTATGCTTCCTGGTCCAGGGTGCAGGCCGACCTGAATTGCATGGAGGACCTACTGCAGAGCTCAGTGCCATGGAAATACCTGCTGAACACCTGCGGGACAGACTTTCCTATAAAGACCAATGCCGAGATGGTCCGGGCCCTTAAGATGTTGAACGGGAAAAACAGTATGGAGTCAGAAATACCAAGTGAATACAAAAAAACCCGCTGGAAGTATCACTATCTGGTGAAGGACACCTTGTACCTGACCAACAAGAAGAAGGACCCTCCCCCCAATAACGTAACCATGTTCACTGGCAATGCCTATATTGTGGCTTCTCGGGACTTCGTTCATCACGTCTTAAATAACCCCAAATCCCAACAACTGATTGAGTGGGCCAAAGACACCTACAGTCCCGACGAGCACCTCTGGGCCACCCTGCAGCGTGCCTCCTGGATGCCCGGCTCTTCTCCTTTGCACCCCAAGTACGACATCTCGGACATGACCTCCATCGCCAGGCTGGTCAAGTGGCAGGAACACGAGGGAGACGTCAGCCGGGGGGCTCCTTACGGACGTTGCTCCGGAATCCACCAGCGCGCCATCTGTGTTTATGGGGCTGGGGACCTGCACTGGATGCTGCAGAACCATCATCTGCTGGCCAACAAGTTTGACCCGAAGGTGGACGATAATGTTCTCCAGTGCTTAGAGGAGTACCTCCGGCACAAGGCCATCTACGGGGTTGGGCTGTGAGGCACGCTGCAGAGTGCTGCCCAGGGAGGCGGGTGTGCAGACACGCCAGAGCCTGGGTGTGGGGGACCAGGGCTCTGGACTCCGTGGCACCCCTAGAAGAAGGGGGCTGCAGATGTGGGTAAGTAGCTCTGCTGCCTGGCAACGTGCTGCCCTGCAGCAGCTGGACGTTGCCCCACCCCTCTCTTCATAGTTCCTGCGCTGACTTCCTCAGGGGGAATGAGGGCAGTTGCTGTTTGAGAGAGTGAAGGAGGCAGAGGGCTCCGGGCTTCAGCTGAATGTCTGCTGTCAGGTTTTCAGCTCCGCGGAGCTATGTTCCTGATAATTCTAGCCTTGGTAATGGCGGAGGCTTTAAAGGAAAGAAAGAGCCTTCACTTTGCTGCTGTTAACTTAAAAATAAATAGCTTCTGTTCAAAGCCCTGCCTCTGTGTTTTGTCTGATAAGCTAGAAATGGTATAAACAGATAAAATGTGTGAGACTTTTTCTCATAACGCTTGGTGACATTTAAAATCTCCAGTGGCTGGCAAGAGGGTTTCCATTATCCAAAGCAGTCCTGGCAAGCTGTAGGAACAGCAGACTCAAAAGAAGGAAGAGGAGCAGAGCCGATTCTTTCATTATTGAAAGCCCTCCTCATTTTGTGTCCATGGCCGGATTTGTAACTTTTCTCTAAGGGAAGATGTAGGTGATTTAACCAGTTCGACCAGCCATGCCCTTCTAGGAAAATCATGGTGCTGATTTTATCAGCTTCACAGCCAAAGCTTAATGTTCCATAACAGCCATCTAGGTAAAGTAGAATATAATTTATTAAGCAAACTGGAACACATTTTAGAAGGGGAAGGGGCTTTGCTCTTAATAATTATTCTGAGAAGAGCTGGGCATGGTGGCGCACACCTGTAATCCCGGCACTCGGGAGGCTGAGGGGTGAGGATCACCATGAGTTCAAGGTCAGCCTGGGCTACATAGTGAGTTCAAGGCCAGCCTGAACTACATAGTGAGACCCTGTCTCAAAAAGACAAAAAAACCAAACTAAAACAAAACAAAACAAAAAACCATGAAAAAACAAACCGTGTCTAATAAACCAGGATGTCTACTTATTTCACATTTAGGACCATGGAGTCAAAACCCCCTTATTTCATTATGTGAATGGAAAGGTCACTAATTGCAATGGTGCAGATTATACATTTTCTGGTGAGAGACAAATATATATTTATAAATTCCCCAACTCTCAAATGTTACTCAGTGGAAGTTTTCTTTCTGAAACCTCAGAGATGATTGTTGGGTCTTATTCATCCTCTTCTGTAATGAGCAAGGGATACTATAAAAATATAGGCATTGGCCTTTGATATCAGATCAGCTGACCTTCAGTATATGTTCTGGAAAAGTGATTCATATACAAGTTAATTTGTGTAATTTGAATGATGTTCTGATTAAACACCAAATGAGTTCAACTCAAATGAGTCATTAATGTGTTTCCTCATTGCTGACTGTCATTCCATCCATCAAGTTTTCTCTCAGTCAACAATCTACTTCTGCAGCCCATGAGCCTCTGAGAATAACCGCGTGACTCAGTGAATTTCCTTTTTTAACTTTGTGATCTCCCCCGCCCCCTTTTACCATTGTGTTCTCCTCGGATCATGGTGCTGGTCTCTACCAACCCACTGGTTGCACAATACTGACCGCGCTCGGGCCCTATTACAGAGGTGCCTGAGGTGGACGTGCCGCCCCGTGTGACGGTGCTTGGCCTTCCTCTGAGTGGGGTGGGAGGGAGAGTGCCGCCACCATGGGAAGGAGACAGAGCAGGGTCCCTGCGTGTGTGCCTTCTGAGAAAAGAACCCGGGCCTTTGGCCTCACAGTCATCTGGCTCTAAGAGCTTTCAAGAAGAGTAAGATAACTTTTCACACAAATAAACTTAAAAGAACGTCTGAACTTGTCATCTGGGGGGAACAAGTTACTGGAATTCTTCAAGCACTGAAATTTTCTCTAGAAATATATTCAGGTAAAGAGGAAATGTTCTTTAATGACATAGGGCCTTCATATCACAGGGCTCAGATTCCTCCCATGCTCAGTGAATTATAAAATTCATAGCTAAACCACCACGTCTGCTGTTTGTGCCTTCCACGGAGTCTTCCGTCTCTCTCACCTTTCTCTGGAAAGGAACAACCACCTCGTGAGCTGAGAGGCTGTGTTTGCATTACCTCTTGAGGCTTAAATCGCCTCATTGTTTCTGATTACGGGATATGACTGAGCATTGTTTTAATAACTATATTTCATTGCAAACTCTGTATTGTACTTCTTTTGGTTGAGTGAATTCTTTTTCAGTGCAGGGGATCAAACCCAGGGCCTTGCAGTGCTCTGTCACTAAGCCCCTGTAGCCATGAGCATTGTTTTTTCCTAAAGAGGAAGAAAAGACAGTTGATAACCTGTTTGGGGACATGTGACATAATTTAGTTGGCGAGGTGAAGTATTTTGATTGAAAATGGAGACTAATTCTTTGCCCACCTTAAGTACCTCAGCTGATACAAAGATCTACTTTTTTTTTTTTTCTTGTCTTTTTGAGACAGGATCTCACCATGCAGTTCAGGCTCATCTTGAACTCACTTTGTAGCCCAGGCTGGTCTTGAACTTACAATGATCCTCCTGCCTCAGCCTACTGAGTGCTGGGATTACAGGCGTGCGCCAGCACACCTGGCTCAAAGATCTATCCTTATTCTTCCATTCAGTGCATCATCTATTACGAAGATGAGTAAGATACAGCTCTTGCCTGTACGAGGATTGTTGTACTGATAAGCAATGAAATCATTCACTCATTCTGCAAACGTGAATTGAGCTTTGCTACTGACCACACCTTTCTTTCCTCCCTCCCATAGACAATCCCAATCTTCAGAATGTCTTCAAATTAAACCTTCAAGTGTTGTCAGAATCTGGCCATTTTCTTCTTCTTTTTTTTTTTTTTTTTTTTCTTCCGGTACCAGGAATTGAACTCACAACCTTGCGCTTGCCAGGCAGGCGCTTTGCCGCTGAGCTAAATCCCCAGCCCCAATCTGCCATTTTCATAACTTCTATTGCTATTACTCCTAGGCTGAGCCCCTACTGCACAGTGCCTGAATTATGGCCAGAGCGTTCTCCTTCCTGGTTTCCACGGAGCCGGACTGTTCTTAACACAGCTGCCAAAGTCATCCCAGGAAGGGGTTCTCTACAGCAGAGTGTGGAGACACAGGTTTGTAATCTCAGCACTCTGGGAGACTGAGACAGGAGGATCGCAGCCTGGGCAACTGTCTCAAAGAAAAAACAAAAACACCAAAGTCGGCTAGGAAAAGTCAAAAGTAACCCCAAGGGTTTTGTCCTGGTGATGGAATTGTCATTAACAAAAAATGGGAACCTTCCGAAAGAACAGGTTTTAGGGGAAGATCAGTAGTCTGGTTCTGAAGGCCGGACATGTCCATTAGCCATCTGGGTAGAGCTGCTACCGAGATGGGTATGTTCTGGAGGCCAGAAGCGAGGAGAGGGTGGCCCTGTTGATCTGTTAAGTGAACGTCTGATCTGAGGGTCCCCGGGACTACATCACCTGCCAGAGCCGGCGCTGCCGCAGGAAGACAAGTGAGACACACTCTCTTGGAGCGGCGACACCTCCGGAACAGCCCCAGCCCAGCAAGAGGCGTCAGCCCCGTCTCCCGAGCCCCACGGGGCGCCGCGGGTCCAGGTTCTCTCACCACCACCCTGGGCACCGCGCTCCCGACACACCCCTGTGGGGGCACATCGGGCATATCCGAGCCGCAAACGAGGGCCCGCAGCAGAGGCCCCCAGGAGTTCTGGCCGAAGCAAAGCCCGGAGGAACCCCGAGTCAGGGCAGACAAGGAGGGGAGGGGCACCCGCTGCGCAGGGTGGTGTGACCCGGACGAGGCGCTTTCTGCGCGGGGGAGGTGATTCGGAGAGTGTCAGAACACCGACGCAACAAACAGTGGTCAATCACCGGAAGGGTTTTCCTGTAAGCTAAGAGGAGCAGAAATAGCGACTAAGGGTTAAGAGCAAGTTGTCTTGATAAACAGAAAAGTGTTTATTGATTAATGGGAAATAGCTACTCAGAGCAAAAGACATCGGAACCAGATGAGAACCCCATCTGCGAAGAGAGGGATGATTATGTTGTCCATAAAAAGCAAGCTCTGGGGCCGGGGGTGTAGCTCAGCAGCATAGTGCCTGCCTGCCAAGCGCAAGGTCCTGAGTTCGAGTCCCCGTACAAAAAAAAGTAAGCTGTCTTCACTGTTGGCTAGAGTGACAGGAGGAAGGCAGGGGGATGGGCCCAGCAGCAGGTACATGGGAAGGGGCAGTGGTGGGACTTGCACGGTCTTCTTTTTAATTCACATCTGTAGCATACATACAGAAAAGTACAAGCATCCCGAGCACACGGTTCCAGAACTTTTACAGAGTGAGCACACCTGTGCACCTAGAGCCCAGATCCGGAAACATTACCAGCCACCCAGAGTGCTGCATGCGACCCTTTTCAGCTACTTCTCAAGCTGCTGCAAAGACAGCTGCTGCCTTAACTTCTAACATCGTAGATTATTCTGCATGTTTCTGAATTTGGTGCAAGTACTGTGCTGTCTCCACGAACAGAACACTGTTTCTGACATTCACTGATGCTGCGTAGCACTAGTGCAGTGACTCTTACTGCTGTGTATTCCACTGTATGACTACACCGTAGTTTGCTTACTCTATTGTGGAATGTTTCCGTTTACCTTTGACCTGAGCTGTGTTCGCATGGACCTCCCTGAACATGTATTTCTAGGGAACGTATGTATACATTTCAGTTGCGTGTGTATGTAGGAGGGAAACTGCTGGGTTATAACATGTACCTGTGTTCTTTAGTGAATAGCCATATAATTTCACGAAATGATCTACCAATTTACACTCCCACTAGCAATATGTGGGAGTCACATTTGCTCCATCTCCTTGCTAATATTGTGTCATTTTAACCATAGTAGTGGCTGATGGAGGTATCAGATGGAGGGTTTAATTTGCCTTCCTCAGATGACTAATGATGTTGAGTAGGTTTTTATATGCTTATAGGAACTTCTTTGAAGGTTTAGTTTTTCAGTCAAAGAGAGAGCAAGATAATTTTATGAGACCGATGATGGGAGAGGAGATAGTAGAGGTTTGGAAAAGCAAAGTATAAATTGCTTCACGTTGAAAATTTAAAAAGAACTCAGGCCAATGAAATAAAATAGGACACCAGGCAGCCCAAGCCACCCACTGACACGAGGGAGAGAGTTAAAGAGCCATCAGCCAGTTCCCCACATTTGACTGCACGGTGCAGGCAAATAGTAGGCAGAATAGGACTCACCCAGGGCTGCAGTTTGAAGCAGGAAGCACGAGAGAAGGGTAAGGGTGCTGCCATTACGTGGAGGATGGCCCGCGCCACGGAGCCTGGGCAAGCTGGGAGGGGCGGGGATGGAGGTGCCCAGCAGAGGGTCTTGCCTGGGATGTGTCTGTCGGGAGTGCTTTGACGTGAGGCATTCAGGGAGTCTATGAGAGGCCTACGGACAGCGACAACTCAACCGGGCCACAGAGGAGTTCACCAAATATTCAAAGTGCTGAAGAGTTTCCCGGATGGGCAAAGGGGACTGTGGAACGTGAGAAGATACAAGCAGCATTCAGGGAACGGAGTCCGGCTCCATGTCTAACCGGGAAGCGGCTAGGCATTCGGCAGGGGGTGGTGACGATGGTGATGAGCGTGGAAGACGGCCAGGTTGCAGGAAACTAGTGTTTCTCTTTGCCAAGGAGCTTGGGCTTCCTCTGTGAGCAGTAAGAACTCCACGAGATATTTAAAAACCACCTTTACTGTGGACATCTTCAATACAAAAGTAGAGAGAATGGAACGCTAAAACTCCCAAGCACCTACCCTGGCCATTCCTGCTTTATCTCCACTCTTCACAAACCTTCCAGCCTCAACTGAGCTTTTCTGAAATAAATCCTAAATATACTATTACTCAGTATGTATTTGAATTAAGGTAAGAAATATTACCAAGCACCAATTACCATGCTTAAGTAATGATTATTTGATTCTATCAAATAATGTCAGTTTTTAATTTCCTTCATGGTCATAATTATGTCTTGCAGTTGGGTTATCTGAATCAGCAAGGACTTAAGAGATGCTTAATTAGCAGTGGTACAGAAGATTGCCTGTATTTTCGGGTATTCTAGGCTGTGGAGATTCACACTTAGCTTTCCTCCTGACTGAATGTTTAGTCTGAGAAAAGCAGACCCGCATCTGACTCTTCATTTTCTCATGCGCAGAAATGAGATGGATGTTCGTTTGAGCCCCACCCAGCCCTCAAGGCCTCACATCCAGGACCCTCTCCATCTGTGGCCAGGAGCTGGCATCCCGGCCAGGAGGTCCTGGCAAATACTCCTCCGGTCCTTACCAACCCGTTAACTTGCCAATTTCTCAAGGACATTTTCTTGATCTGGAACTCTCATTCCTATAATCACTCCCCCAAGAGAGACTAATTTTAACTCCTGCCTGAATACTTTCGTCTTTTCATGCATATTTCAGCTTTGTTTCATGCTTATCTGAAGATCTTTAAAGACCCTCTAAGAATTTCCCTGCCCCACTGTCAGGGTCTCCTGTGATCTGCTTTCATTCTACAAAAATCAAAGTTTCCACTTCCCTTTGCCATGCACTGTTTTCACTGAATCCAAATTTCACAGCCATGCTACAGATTCCTTTCCTAGCTGATTCATATACATCTGCTTATCATAAAATCACAACACATACATGCATGCACATCATTTCATACCTACACATATATTCTAAAATTTCCAATTTCAGTATTAGTAGCAGTTCGTGACCCATTCAAAACTGAAGGCAACATTGTGGTGTCTACCAAGAAATGAAGTATTGTCCTCCACCCCCAAAACCAGCTGGAAGTGTATCATTAAACAAGCTCACTAGTCACTTGACATTAAACCCAGGAACAGGTTATTCTTTGTCTAACTTTGGGTGGTGAAAGAGCATGAGGCTGTACATCTGAAGGACTATCTCTTATCACATAAGCCCAGCCTTTTCATGATTCTCAGAGTAGATTGATTATTCTCCTCTTGCACATTTACAGGCAATTAAGCTTAAATCCTGGTGCCCGTGGCTAGGAGGGAGAAGATAAAACGGTGCAAAGCTCATGGTGTGACCCTTTCCTGTAACTTCAGTGAAGTGTAACACTACGAGATCAGAAGACACACGCTACAAGCGGTAGTCACAGGATGTACTGTATTTGCAAATAGTTACAACTGACAGGACATGTCAGGCTTTGACTTCTGCATTCCTTCCCAAAAGCAGGGATGTGGGCCGGGCGTGGTGGCGCACACCTGTAATCCCAGCACTGAGGCAGGAGGATCGCTGAGTTCAAGGCCAGCCTGAACCCTACACAGTAAGAACTTGTCTCAAAAGACCCCCGAACAAAAAAACCAAAGCAGAGATGTATGTGAGTGTGAGTGGCTGAAAAACCAAAGTGAGATGTATGTGATGGCTAATGTAAGAGTGAGAGCCAGCTCTGCCTGTGGAGGTGCAGTATTTACCTGAGGCGTTTCCCTGCAGTTACCTGTACAAGCAGTCCTGTGCCTGAGCACTACGATGGGCCCACGTTCACTCACCCTAAAGCAAAAACCTGTCTTGTTACAGAGATGGCCTCTAAGGCACCAGCAGAATTCTGAGCAAAGCCTTACGCACAGACCACTTCATGTAACACAACTGTATTGAAAGGAAAAGTCTGAACCTTACTAGAAATGTAAGCTGAACCTTACATTTCTTACCTTTTTCTAGTCCATGTGCCTAGTATATAACAAGAACTTAATAAATTAAGACTTTTGAATGTTTTACTTGGATAATGCTATTCAAAAGTTGGCTGCAATACAACATAAAAATTCAATACAGGTGTGGGACTGGGAATACAGCTCCACAGCAGAGTGCCTGTCTGGCAAGGGCGTGGCTGAGTCCAATTCCTGGTACCAAAAGAAAAAAAAAAATCAATACATACCTGATCTTGTGTTCCTTTGGGAGAAATATGTATCACTGCCCTCCAAAATGTTTATTTTTTTGTTCGTAATTTTTCTTCATGTATTTAAATGACTCTTTGAGAGGCAACAGGAGAGATCAAAATGGGTTCCACTCAGCCACAATTCTCAGCTGCAGCTGGGCTTAGTTCTGAAGATAGGGAGCATTTTGATTCTGACAGGAAATGTGTGAGAAGCAGAGGAAACAGCATAACCGAACAAAAACCTTGGCTCTGACCCTTTTTCTTTTTCAAGCTTAACTGCGTAGACTCTGATGGTTGGTAGTGAAGGTCACGGGGAGATCTCAGGGCCAGGTGACACATGTGTCCCCCTGGGTGCAAGGATGACAAAGTTAGTTTTAATGGGGGAGCCAAGGCCTACACCTTCACGCTGAGGGACAGCCAGGGAAGGGCACGAACTACCACTGCAGTTGGTGGGTCAAGCCCGTAATCTGTGGAAGAAACCCCGGCTCCTGCAGTCAACATACTGCTTCTCTCCGGCAAGCACAGCCAACTGCAACTGTTTACAGAGTTTCAAGTTTCCAAACAGGCTTCTATCTCCAGCTGTATCCTCCTCTCTGTAACATTTCTGTGAAGAGTCACAGAAAGACTAACGCATGATCTACTCAAGAAACAGACTATAATTTCTAGACTCACAGTAACTTCACCATCAACACACCTCATCTCTTAACCACTACTTTGAACCTCCACAGTATGAAGGCCTGACTTTTGGGTGGCACTAATTAGTAAGTAATCTTCCAAGTGGACTTTGCTAACAAGTGTTTTTCATCAGATAAAACTTACAACTGATGAAACTGATAAGACTTTATTTTTTATTTTTTATAGCACTGGGAATGAAACTCAGACCCTTTGCCCTGAGCTGCTTCTCCAGCCCTTTTTGACAAAAATGTTGAGACAGGATCTTGCTAAGTTGCTACGTAGTCCTGGTTGAGCTTGACCTTGCAGTCCTCCTGCCTCAGTCTCCCAGAGTGCTGGGGTGACAGGTGTGCACCACCATGTCTATTCTAACACGACTCTGTTCAAATGAGTGAGTTTCCTCAGTTCCTCTGCAAGGACTATGGTACTCTTTCAAAATGCTTATCTAGGGGCTGGGGATTTAGCTCAGCGGCAAAAGCGCCTGCCTGGAAAGCGCAAGGTCGTGAGCTCGGTTCCCGGTACCGGAGAAAAACCAAAAAAAAAACCAAAAAAACAAAAAAAACAAAATGCTTATCTAATACCTTTATACTGTCTGCTTAACAGCTGTATCAGTTATTACTCACATTGAGTTTTAAAATGAGTTTATTAAAGAATGTTCTCAGAAGGGCTACAACCTTTGATTTGTCATTAAAAAAAAGTTATGTGTCTTCATGCTTGATAATAAAGGTAATGTAAAAGGACAGAGTCAGGAGCATTTTTCTGCAGGAATTCTGAGAGTATAGCACAGTGTAATCATTTCTGCAATGCTAGAATAAATAAAAAAAGTCTCTTCTATGTTTCTCTTCAAAAAGTGGTGAACAACAGCAGGAGATGGCACGAAAAAGCCACTTTTTCTCTATTCATTCTGTAGTGTTGGAGCCAGTATCTAGGAAACAGGAGAGAAAAGCGTAAATGCAAGGAGCAACTTACTTTAAGACTATAAGAAAGGAACGGCGGCGGCGGCGGGGCTGAGGAGGGAGGCTGACGGCTGACACCCGCACCAGCCCCCTTTCAGGCGGAGATGGAGACAGCTCTCGGCTCTCCGAGAGTCAGTCAGGGGAGAGCCGTACTGCACCACATCTGCCCGCGCACATCCCATCCACAGCCTTCTCAGGCCCTCTGCTCTCTTCCTGGTGAGAAACAGGCCAAAATTCTAGACATTATCACTTTCCTCTGCTTCTCTCTTCGGAACTTCACAGTATTTCAGAAAGCGAACATTTGGGGTAGAATGAACTGTTCATCTTTCTGTTATTATTGAGGAATTTTCTTCATTATTCAAACTTACGTGTACCTGTAAATGCCAAACTATATATTTTAACTTTGGAAAAAGTATTTCCAACACCGCACCCTTTTTTACTAATACAGGGCAAGTGGAATACAACACAGCCTCTTCTTAAGTATTCCACTCTTTTGGCAGACATTCAATTCTGTGAGGGAATTTGCTGTGAGGGAAGCTTGTCAGGTGCCACTGAAATAGATAAGGGTGATTTGCTACTTCTCGAGCACTACAGTTTGGAAAAACTGTCCTGCGTGTTTCAGTAAGAGCAGCACACCAAGGACCACACTGCGTGCTGTCAGTGACAGCTGCGGTATGTGGCTACTTACATTTACATTAATTCAAATTAGCAAACAGAACTAAAACATTACGTTTTTCAGCAGCCCTATTTACATTTCATGGATTCAACAGCCATGCACGACTACTGGATAATGTAGACAATGAACATTTTCATTACAGAAGAAAACTCTGAACAGCAGTGATAGACATCAACTCACTCTGACAGGGGTTTAGGAATCATAAATGATGTCTGAATTCTACAGTCCAGTAAAATCTTAAAAACCTAAAAGTTATGCAGATATCTTAAACTGCAAGAAAAAAATTACACATCACTTCAAAGGTAGGAATGCTATTATCCTGTCATCTAGGAAACAGCACCATTTCTATAGGAACGAAAAGAAACAAAGAAAAAGGCTCAAATATACAATAGTGTTATTTCTAGCAACAAAAAATCTTAAATATCTGACGACTTCTGAGTGCTACAAGAAAATGCCATACTGCTAGTTTCATAGACTTTCTGGCGTGTGAAGAGACGATTTCTTAAAAAAGGAGTGAAGGTGTAATTTTATGCAGCCATTAGAAATCAGGTTTAAGAACATAGTTAACTTGTGTGAAAAGATGATACACAAATTTGTCTACATGCATACGTGCACTACTGTAAAAAAGATGCATGACTCTTTGCAATTAAAAGCAGTAAGTTTTATCTCCTGGTGGTGTTACAGATGTTTTTCTTCTGTACATTTTCAGTATTTTCTTTGATATTAGATATTGCTTTTGAAATCCAAACAATAGAAGAAATCCAGCCTATTACCTAACAAATTAAGATATTACTTTCTACATTTCTTTTCTCTTGCTTCTTAAAACTTCCTTTCTTAGAGAGTGACAGTCTTTTTTACTTACTATCAGGAATAACTGCCTTAAAAACAAGTTGTTTAGATTACAAAGTAAGAGTAAGCACATATTTAAGACATAATCAACACAAAGGAATTAATTATGGAAGAGAAAGCAGAGACTGTGATTTCTGAAATATTTAAGGACCTGAACAAGTCCCTAGGAAAGTTGTGGAAAACCTTCTGCTGCGGAAAGCTCACCTGCACAGACGGAACGGAGTAAAGAAACGCACACTACCATTACGACCGCCAAGTTCTGAAGTCTGCTTTAGTATAATCACCTTTTAGAATACCACATGCAGGGAAGGAGAACATTAACGTGCTCATTTCTTTTCTACGCAACTTCAATCTGTGTAAGTCTCTATGTGCTGAAACGTATACACCTGAGGTCAGTGAGAAGACTGAGCCCTGCATTTCAGAAGGGAGCGGAACAGAAGCCAGGCCTCGAGGCAGCCTGATCATTTGGCCATTTCCGCCTGCAGGCTTTTCGGACGGATGAAGGTTTTTTAAAGATTCATAAAAAGATTTCAAGAGGCTTCGTCTTCACAGTAATTAGGCACACACTTACTTTTACCATCGCATGCTACAATTTTCACTTTATCCACTTTGATAAGTTCTGTCACCTCTCTGAATTCAACATCGTTCAGTACGAAGGTCCACACGTTATCGCAGAATCTGTACGTATTTAGAGAGCCCTTCAAGACAAAACGTTCGGTACATCATGAGAAGTCATTCCCCTCCATTTTTCTTCAAAGCAATTTAAGAGAATTTAGTTGCCAAGTACATAATGGTTAAAACAATGTTTAATGCCTTGCTTAAGATTTTCCTTAATTTTAATCCTATTTTCTTAAAAAAATGTAAGCACAAGAAAAATTTAGAGAAATTATTTTTGGTACTAAATGAGCCTGAAATTACCTGAAATGAAGAAAAGATGAATGAAAATAAAGTTGAATTTCTACTGCCCTCATGTGGTTAAATTATGAAAGCCCATCTGAATTTTTTACACAGCTATTTTACTGTATATGTTAATTCTCTAAATTTGTATACAATAGCAATTTCTCAGAAAGCTTTAACTTTGTCTTAAACACACCACTGTATTAGTCACCAAGATTACAACATTCACTGTCTTATGCAGCTAACATTGTTTTGATAATTTATTTTTGAACAAGAATATATTTTGGAACATTAAACAAAAAAATTGTAAGAAATGTCACGTACATGTATCAGTTCCTCATGATGAATGTAATCATTATGTACTACAAACATGCACCAATAAAAAAAAACTATAGAGAGTGTGGTAAAGTATAAGGATCAACACGAAAAGCATACAACAAAAACTGAGATACGGCCGGGTGCCACGGTACACCTGTAATCCCAGAACGCAGGAGGCTAAGGCAGAAGGATCACCAAGTCTGAGTCCAGCTGGGGTATATAGTGAGTTAGAGGCCTCAAAAACAAAACAAAACAAAGCAAAAGAACACTTGACACACACACATATTTAACATTCACACGTGAAATTTAGCCTAAGACGAGACATTTAAATAGTTAAATCTTTAATACAGGAAAAGAAATATCAAGCACAAATAAATGTTCCCTGCAGTACTATTTGTAATAGCAAAAATTGGGATTCAGTCTAAATGTGTTTTCAGGTGAAAATGACTGAAGACACAGGATGAGCTGGGAATGTCTGTGAATGATTACCGTGTGCAGCCTCTGCTGGGCCGGGGACACGAAGCAGGGAGGTGACAGTGCGGCAGCACCATGGGAGACGAAGTCACTGGGTATGACGGGACAGCAAGGGGGAAGGAGAAAACAGCGTGCAGGAAGCCTCTCTCAGCAGTGGCAGCTGAGCAGAGTAAGAGCGGTCCAAGGAGAGGAGGACCGTGGGAAGGCAGACAAACGACGTTTTAGGGCTAAGCAAAGGAGAGCATGGGGAGTGCTGGAAAGCTCTGGCCCGATCCTGACCTTCCTGGGAGGCCAGTGTAGGAGTTTAAGATGATGAGTCACATGACTAGTTTACGCTTTGGGAATGACATGAAGAATGGGCTACAGGGGATACGGCTGAGGTAGGGACACCAGAAGCGAATGTCCCTGAGCCAGCTGTATTAGAGAGGTGAAAGCGGCTTCACCACAGTAGTAGCGAGAGGATCCATAGAAAAGGAGATTTTAAAAGGTAGAACTGACAGGACTTGAGAACTATGGACAGTGTAGGATGGGAAGAGGCAAATCTCTGCTAACTCCCAAACTTCAGACTGGAGTGACGACAGATTCACAGAAAAAGCTGGCTGTGGAGGAAAGCTGAATGTGGAAGTTGCTCGTGGTTGAGAGGAGGTGTCTAAGTCACGATGTCCAATGAGCACTGGGAGTGCAGAAGGCCGGGGAGCTCACCGCTTTTACTGAGGTCATGGGGTCGGCTGAGACCATTCAGGCGGAGCATGTGGAGGCTCCAGACAGCCCTACAGCGTGCCAACCCGGCGGAAGGTAAACACGGGGACTACAGGGGAGCCTGAGAGAAGGGGCTGGGGACAGAAGAAAATGTAAGACAGTACGGTTTCAAGGAAGCCTGAGTTTTGAAAAACAAAGGGGAATAATCCATCGTGTTACAAATTATGCATCAGATTTAGCAAAATTTACTTGGAAGAGCAGTTTCAGGGAAGTAGTGAGAGATTAACACATGCAAAAACCACGCACGACACAATGTTAAGTGAGAAAGAATCATAAATGTAAAATGTGTATCTAAAAATTAGAAGTAGCTGGGTGTGGTGACGCATGCTGGAATTCCAGGACAGTACTTGGAAGACTGACTGAGGCAGCAAGACCGTGTGCTTAAGGCCAGCCTGGGCTGTTCTACGGCAAGACCCTGTCTCAAAAACAAACCTACACCAAGAACAAAAACCAAGAAAATTTCCAAGTCTGCTAAAAATGTGATCTGCTCCTCTGCTGCAGTCTGAATCTTCTGCACTTGGCAAATGCCAACTCAACATTCCCTTCCGGCAACCTAAACTTGTGTGGGGCCAATGATCCCGGGAGAGTGTGGGTTATTCTTGTAGCCAATCATCTGAACAAAGTGCCTTACTGAGATTCACGGTTAGTAAGTGACTATTCACTCTCACATATAAACAACATTTTAGATGCAGCCTGGAGTGAAAAATCTTTTTTTCTCCTTCCGGTACTGGGGATCACAAACACAGGGGTGTTTTACCTCTGAGCTACAGCCCCAGTCCCTACTTTTTTAGGGAGTTATTTTTAGATAGGGTCTCACTAAATTGTGCAGGTGGGACTTGAGCTTGCCTCCTGCTTCAGCCTCCTAAAGTGCTGGGGTCACACGTGTGTGCAACCACACTTGTCTGAAAAAATCTACTGATTTATGTTGAAATTCTTGGTTTTAGTACATACTTTGATTTACGGAAAAAACAAAATGCTACAAAACTTTACTGTCAAAACTTAATTTTGTTATAAATTAAATTTCTCCTATATTTATATTAAAATAACTTTATGATAAACATAATGAAGGGAGTGTATTAGCTAGGTAACTTTGAGAAATAAAGATTTAAAACTGTAGAAACATAAGAGATTAATGACATAAATCTAATCTTTTTAGAGTAATTTTGTAGACAAGAATCCCCAATATGTAATAAGCTTTATATAATTTTTTGTTATATCTAATTATCTTGCTTTTTTACTTTTCCATTTCAATAGAATCAGAACTTATTCAGTAACTCAACTACTGAGCTGAAAGAATAATTACACTTTATAATCTTTTCTGTAAGATACATTTAGCTTTTGTTAAACACTGACTTTAACACTTAGTCATGTGGCCAAATTGTATCTTCAAAGTATCTCACATATACAGAGACCTCAAAAAAAAATGTATACATCAGGAAAAGAAAACCTTGTATAAATACTTATGAGATTAGTTCAAGTTACTTGTGGCCTCTATAATTACAAGAGATGCTCAAAGTCGTGGCCATTAGCTTCCAGACATTTATCAGTATGGTGAACTGGAGTATGTATACATTTTCTTTTTGTGGACTCTGTATATTTACTTATTTAAATTTCTACCTCCAGGCAACATCTGTTTTGTTTAAAGCTAACATAACATCTTAAAAGTTACATAGTACATGCTAATTGTAAAAACATCAAAAATTATACAGGAAAAGGAAACTGTTAAGAGTCATTTGAAGGGCTATTTTTCTTGACATATCTTTTCAAGCTTGCTTTATTATTTGAAGCTCATTGTCATAATATTAAAGTAGTCATTACTTAATTCTATCTGTGGGCGTATAGTCTTTCAAAAGCATACAATCGATCCAGTTCAAGTTCCTTAGTGTACATATTTCGATGTTTTTACTCGTGAATTTCAAATTTAAAGCCTCACCTCTCATACTCGTCTTGTTTTCCCTGTAATATCCTACCTACTAAATGACCTCTTATATCGAACTTTCTATTTTCTTTAGTGGGTGCCTAATCTTTTCATAGGCCAACAAGAACTACTCTAAATTAAAAATATATATGTACATATTTAAATACCCAGTAATGTGGCTTTGAAAATTGGTTATTAATTATATAAAATTTCATTTTTCTTCGTCATATGCTACATCAAGCTAAAGAGAATACTATTTGCAAATATTCTGGACTCAAAATTGATCAAGTCTGCTATAATCTAGGCGGCGGGGTGACAAAAGCTTTAACTACAGTAGCAGTGGATAAAGAAAAATGAATGAAAGAGAGAGTCCCGATCAAGCCTGGGTAACTAACTGTAACTTCTGGAAAACGGACAAACTGACAGAGACCCAAACGAGGAGACTCTTCAGGCCCAGAGAAGGCTACTGTCTCTGGTAAGTGGTCTATCATATTCTGTACGTGGGCAAAAGTTTACGTATCAACATGGACCAATTTAGAAATAAAAGACGAGGGAGGGTAGCGATGCAGCTCAGTGGTAGAACACTTGCCTACCATGCATGCTTGAAGCGTGGGCTTAATTTCCAGTAACACACAATATCTGTCTGTCTGTCTCTCTCATAAAAAACACATCAGGGTTCAAATGGCAAGCTAGACAACTTTCAATGTACGGTTATAGAAACATAAAAAAAATAGGCCAGAGATACTATTCAAGAATCAGGCAGGGAATGTAGTTCAGAGGCAGAAAGTTTGCCTAGCATGCATTAAGCCCTGTATTTGATCCCCAACACTACAAAAATAAAAAGAAAAGAAAAAAATCAAGAATCCACCCATCACATTTTATACTCTTTTTTTTTTTTTTTTGTACCGGGAATTGAATTCAGGACCTTGCACTGTCCAGGCAGGCGCCGTGCTGCTGAACTATATCCCCAGCCCCACGTTCTACAATCTTAAAAACAATCTTGATCAGTGGACTCTCACCTAATCTTAAAGATAACTTATTTCAGGTAAGTTTTAGGCACGTGAAACACAGAGAAGCCTGGAGCTGTTTTACTTTGTTTAACTCTGCATTCTCCGTGTGAAGGACAAGGTAAGCAGTCACGTATTTGTTAAATGGTAACTTTTTTCACTGAATACACAACGACAACAACCTAAATCACAACACAGAGGTTCTCAATGCAATGTAACCCACAGAATCTTTTCTTATACTAACCTTCATATATTTTAACTTTCTGATTTATACATTAGGGTTATGCCTTCTCACATAAGCATAAATGTTAAATATAATAACCAAATATACACTACATTATATGGCTCCATCAATAAAATTATTGTAGTACAATTATTTCTCTTCTTCCATCTTTCAATGAGTCCTTAATACAAAATTATCACAAAATTGGGAGAATTTTGCTCAGCTTTGTATGACTCTTTAAAGAATGGTGACTCAAATGAGGTCATGTTACCAAAACAGCATGTCAGTTTAGGCTTTTAAAAGCCAACTTACCGAAACTATTTTGTAGACAATAATATGTAAAATGATAACCATTGATAATTTCCTACCATTTTGTCTGTAATTTGCTAAGTCCCCCCTATTATTATGTTATCCTTCTTTTATTCTTTA